AATATTTCGTGGTTTCAGTATGGAAGTCGTATCAGGGAGGCTATAATAAGCGAGCGTACCGGAGGGAGTAGAGTGGTGGGGGGCAGTCGGAAACGAGAGGCATCACGAGTGAGCAGGAAGAGAAAAGTTGGTGCTTCGGGCATAGATACACTCGAGAGACCCTTTGCTGTCGACGAGTGAAAAAATATGTGGTGATTTTGCCCCAGAGATACCCGATCGGCAGCGCCGATGAAAGCCCGGTCAGGTGGAGGCGGGTTGGTGGATATCCTGCCGGAAACACTCTGCTTGAATGAACTTTCCGAGAGAACCTTTGCACAGATACCGAACCTGAATGAGTCCATGCATTCCAGTGAACCCCATCCATCGATCCATCAGAGAACATTTCAAGATTTCCATGTTGAAGGCGGATCAGGGAGGCATTCACACGCGAGCGTACGGGAGGGAGTAGAGTGGTGGGGGGCAGTCGGAACCGAGAGGCATCGCGAGTGAGCAGGGAGAGAAAAGTTGGTGCTTTGGGCATAGATACACTCGGAAGAACCTTTGCTGTCGACTTGTCAAAAAATATTTGTTGATTTATCAACAGAGATACCTGATCGGCCGCGCCGATGAAAGCCTAGTTCCATTGGAGGCGGGCGGTGAGTATTCTGCTGGAATCGCTCGGCTTGAATGAATTTTCCGAAGATACCAGAGCATAGATCGTAAAGATGAATGTATCCACGCACTCCAGGCAATGATATCTATCGATCCATCAGAGAAAATTTCTCATGTTACGTCTGAAAAAGCTCCTTTGACGTTTTTCGACACCTTTGTTGAATGGGGGGCGAAATATGATTTTGGTTTGAATAAGCTTTCTGAGCGAACCCTCTGCAGCAAAGCGACGAGCGGAGTCATCTCATTGTCATCCAGAGAGTATTTTCTATCGATCTATCAGAGAAGATTTTGTGATTTTTGCTTTTGAGGAGCCAGGGCTTGCATTCTGTGGCAAGCGCGTAAACGTTGGCAGAGACGAGGGGGGGCGATTTTTATCCCTGTCAGAAACGTAATTTATTCCGCGGGAGTCCGGGTAGACATCACGGCGATTTTTGCATGGACTCCTTCCGAAGATTCACATCTATCGATCTATCAGAGAACATTTCCCGATTTTTGCCTTGAAACCGAGAAAAGCAGAAAAAACCCCGCGGAGTAGCGTTTTTTGCCCCAATTTCGAGCACATTTCGGTACTTTCTCCAAAATGCTCTGTACAAGGCCCATGAGATTTGGTGTACAGCTCGACCGATAGGTCCTCTAAAATCGGTTGCATGCTTTTGTCTGTAGTAGATCTGTGGCCCGAACGGCAGTCGAAATACTGTTCTCAAAAATTCGACTATTCCCAGTTATATGGCCGTTTGACCTTTGACCTTTTGAGTCGGCTCGAGTCTCAACCCCTCATTTAAAAGTAGATTGTCTTCGCTTTCCAAATACGTTATTTGCGGGTTCTTCTGGCAAACGGTTTCCGAGTTGTAGTCCTTTGAATTCGATTCATCAAATGGCCATCTAGCGGCTCATTGATACCTTAGTTGGGTTTTTGGCCGCCGGGATGATTTTTTCTTTGGCATTTTCCTTTGATGTGGATGTTGCATCTGGTCCTTCGATGGTTTTCGTCACTGTTCTGCGTGCCTTTGGAATGCTTTTGTCTGTGATGGATCTGTGGCCCGAATGGCGGTCGAAATACTGTTCTCAAAAATTCGACTATTCCCAGTTATATGGCCGTTTGACATTTGACCTTTTGAGTCAGTTTGAATCTCAACCCCTCATTTAAAAGTAGATTGTCTTAACTTTCCAAAAACGTTATTTGCGGGTTCTTCTGGTCAACGGTTTCCGAGTTGTAGTCCTTTGAATTCGACTCATCAAATGGTCATCTAGCGGCAACTTTGGCAGTGACTATTGGCCAAACTATGGGTCGGAGGTGACTGTGCGACCCCTCTTTGCACTTCCCTAGGGACCCCCTACAACAATTACTTTTCAGATTTCGAATCCCAGACGGTCGATTTTTCATCCCCTACAACCTTAATGCATATAGTGGCTTCAAAACACACACACGTGCCCCAGACTGCAATCCTTTACGATCTTCTTTTATCTCTACCTCCAGCATTACCCAAGCCCTTCTTCACCTAATCCCAATCTTGAAGTTAAGATGTTCAAATACGCATTTTTTGTGTGCAAATACTTCGTAAATTTACGTAAAATCTCATGCTGTCTTCCACGATATATTTTCAACCGCCATAATCGAGAAACTCCGAAAAGGTTCAACTACCAATATCCAATACACTGTAGAACGGCAAGATCAAGTGCATGAAAAATAATTTACTCACAACTAGACTCATCTAGTAATACAATATCACAATCAGAAGAATTGCTGGTTTTATCACATCTGTGATCATCATGAGATTGTGATCACCTCTGTCTTATCCATTCTTCCTTTTTTGGCCTGCGATCTTGATGAAGAACCACGAGACGTACAAGGCTGCTCAACCTTTGGTGTTTTTCCGATTCTCATTTTGATGCAGTGGCCACCAGCCTCCACCAAAGACTTTCTCTGCTCAACTGGAAAAGATATACACTCCATACTATGAACTAAATTTTTAATTACGGACAAGTTCAATTAAGAAAATGATCATTCCCTTGAATTTGACAAATAGCAAACAATAATAATAATTTAAAAAAAGTCTTGAGGGCTAGGGGTTCCAGTCAGTGCGATCTGGCGCATTGGCAATAAACTTTCAATTTTTACTTGAAAGAGAAGTCCTGTAAAAGTATTACTGATATTGAGGCCTTAACCTATGTTCTTCTATTCAAGAAGGTATCAGAGGTAGTCACTTTATGGACACCCTATACATTTCCCCAGTTCACAACAGTGATGTAACCCCCGAAGGAGGTGTGGCTTCAGTTTTTTCGTGTTTTTTTGTGGTGGACCTCACCCTTCTTCATATATAGGGTGGTTAAAAAAAAACCGCTTAAAAAAAACGAATCGTACTTTCTCCCCTTTTAAAACGGTGGAGCTTTTTTTAAATCACCTTCGGTCACCCGGTCAATAACAGCCCCTTCTATCGGGATAACTATGTTAAGTATCAGCTGGATTCAACTGTCCCTTGAAAAGTTAAAGTTGAAAAGTTCATTGAATTCTGAGACGGTCGCGCACATCACCTCACTTGAGGTGGAATGATCCACCTCTAAGCACCTTTAATTCACCTCTAAATGGGTATTGCACGACTTAGGCAGAGGTGCTGAAAAAAAGCTGGCAAGCATTTCAACACCATGTAACCGCCAAATATCGACCGCGTATCATATGTAATTTTTTTGCTGCATTTATGAAACTGTGTTTCTCCCATAGAAAACGGCAGAGCGTTCTTTTTTTAACTACCTATATTCGTCCACTAAAGGAGATGGCTAAAACTAAGGGTACTGGAGTAAGCCCCATTACCCTAGCTTCCTCCGCATATGCATGGAATAGGGGTTGTACCTCGTAGTAACGCCGGAATGTGTTGGTCTCTACCACACCCCCCGTAACTGGGTGTTCATAATTGATACCCATCCAATCCGCCACCCTTGGCGTCTGGAGGCACTCTGGCAGCAGAGCGGGACGAGTCCAGCGGCACCTCAGAATCGATCCTGAAGTTTTCGCTCTAGCCCTGCAAGTTCAATTGCCAAAAGATGGTCCGCAACCTCGTACTTTCAGATCTAAGAAAGTACTTGCCCGTTTGAGGTGAAACTTGGTGGACTCCAAGTTCTGGATAGAGGCAGGAAGTCTCAAAGATACTGGGTGAATATGTGAGACATGTGTGAAACATGGCGTCAAAAGTTCCCAGGGTTCGCTCCTATGATTATCCAGTCTAATTATACATAGTACATGCATGTCTATGGTTACAGTTAAGCGCGTACCCCCTAGGGCTATTTTGTTGCCCCTAAGGTTAGGCAGGGCTGCTCAGAGGGAGGGGGGGGGGGGGGCAATTGGGGCAATCTGCCCCGGGCCCTTTGTATCAAGGGGTCCTAAGGGGGGCCCCCAAGGGGTCTCCGGCTTAGTTTTGCCCCGGGCCCCTGGAAACCTCTGGGCGACCCTGAGGTTAGGACAGGTCAAACTAGGTTACACTGTTTCCAGATTTAATTCGTACCCCCTACAGGAGCGCTTCAATCAATTGCAGGTAGTGACATCTTTCACATGGGTGGTTTTACTGTACATCAGGGATGTCTAACTCGATTAGGCTGGGGGTCGGATGGAAACCTTCAGGGGTGATTAGGGGCCGCAATAAAAACCTAACACCTAATCTTTAATGCAAACAGCCTGAAATTTGCAGTACTTTTCCGTAACCAACTGTTGAAGAGGACTTCACTGGCTGCCAGTTTGACACCCCTACTGTACAGTATCTATCACTGGCCGAGGTGGAACCTCTGGAAATGTGTACTTTCTCCATTCTCCACTGGTGGAGTGGACGAATTCAATCCGGAAACAGTGTAAGTTGGTGTTCATTATAAATAAAAAGAAATACCAATGGATGTAGTATGTTTTCAATTGAATTCATTTGGAAACATGGGAGACTGGGGGAGTGCAATTTCTCTAGGGGGTACACGCTTAACCATTACAACATTCAGAACCAGTAGAGATGGTTCGAGGAACTCAGTTAGAAAGGGCTGACTTAACATGTTCTGCACTGAAATGGTTAATGAAACTCGAAACAGGTCTCTAATCGGTCTAACGTCACACGTCCTCAACGAGATGTCTCGAAGACCACGAGATTGAACCTTACAGGTCCTTATTGGCTTCCTAAGTCTAGGATGAGTTTCTTTTGCATGGAAAAAAAGGTAGGCCTAGGCCTAACGCTAGTGAGGCCCGTAGAGAAAGGGGGGGGGGGGGGGGGGGGGGGGGGGGGGGGTGNAGTGAGGCCCGTAGAGAAAGGGGGGGGGGGGGGAGTTGAGGTTGAGGTTGAAGAAAAGGAAGGCCTAAGCGAAATGGTCTTCACATAACATCATTGAAGATACTGGTCAACTAGGGTTGTTTTGTCCATTTTGTGACGGATGAGGATGGCATCGAGAAGACAGGGTTCGGAGGTGTAGTGGTAACACACCTGCTGACCGTTCCCTGGCTTTCTTTCGGGCCTCTCGCCTTCTGTCGTCCCGTTTCTCATTCCCCCTCCGTAACAATATTTTAAACTTTTTAAGGTTTTACTTCGTAATAAAGCTTAATAGCAGCAAATATCGTTATTTTCCTTAAGTCAAAAGCAGTAGGCCACACTCATGGTATCGATTGGCGCCTTGGCTTAAGGTGGCTGTGGGTATATTTTGAATATATGTTCATATTTTGTTAAATTCCAAGGTGGCAACCCTATGGTGAAGACATGAATGTCTTCACATACTGTGGTACAGGCATATCATGTCTCCTCAATGCCTCTAGCAAATGGCAAGTTTTGGCATTTGTTGACTGATTCTTGACCATCTGACTGAAGACAGACTATGCAAGATTGGCCAGTTATGGAGGTGTCAACAGAGAAGTTATAGTCAGCATACATCCTAGACTGGGAAATTTCTATTGACAAAGGAATGATGGCATGGAGAGGCTGCCTTGCCTTCAGAATCTAAAAGCCTGACAAGCCAGATCGGTATGGGGTAAAAAAGGTTACCTTCTTTGTAAGTTGTGAAATGGGTTTTAGGAATCTCCAAATATACAGCTAGAAAGTACAATCCATCAAGGCACGGATATGGATCATCTGAGCAACACACTTTAAAATAAAGTCTACCACCTTTATCAAGACAATTACCACAAAAGTGTGGCATTGCTGCAAAGGGCACCTAGATTTGTGGGGTACTTAGTCCTGACAGGGGTGATCCAAAAGACTTTCAGATGGAATCCAAAAAACTAAAATAAAAAGGGGAGGGGAAACAGTGTTCACAAGGAAAGGGCATGTCCTTGTTGAAGTGTGGAGGGACAAGAAAGCCAGAGATGTTGATCTCAACCTTGCACTAGTCCTAGCTACTATGGTGAACTCCACCCAAGAGAAATTGTCAAAGGGATGATGGTGCAGCAGTCAGAAAAGGAGGAACATTATAAGAAATACACATAGGGGGGAAAATAAAGCCGACTAGATGCTGCACTACTACTGAGATGCAAGGAAATCCATAAAATGCAAACTAAAAAGACATTAAATTAAAAAAAACATTAAATACCTCAAGTATATTGACCAGTCAATTGATGGGCTTTTGTACAGAGACTATGTATAGTCTATCTGCTATTTGATGATTTAACAGACTGTGTCTATGTATATACCTTTTTCAAATTTTACCATTGAGCACTGCCATTGAGCATATGCAAATGCTCTGTGAGTTGTCTGTAAGCTTGGAGAGTTCTACAAATTTTTGAAAATGTAAAGCCATTTTCAGCAAGATAACTCAGTCTGAGATGCATGGTTTACTGTATATAACGCAGCTAATTAAGTTAATTGCTCTGCCAATCACTATCCCCATTTGTGACACCATTAAATGTCAGATCCCTACGACATGTCTCCATCAATATAGGCTCAATTTTCATCTACTACTAAAAAGCCCACATCTTCTGCATAAATCAAAGATATGCTTGTGTGTTATAAAGAAAGGCTGTATAATTTCTCAGAATGCATCAGCATCACCATGAGGATATAATATTTGGGAGAAAGTGAATAGTGAGAAGGGAGTAAAGAAGATGTGTGACTCACCAGGGAGAATATAGCTGATAGTATTATAGGGTGTAAAGTGGAAGTCCTCCTGGAGATAACCCTCAATGAGTAGATGAGCGATGACCCTTTCGCACATTCCTCTTGTTGATAGGGGAGGGTGAGGAAGATTCACTTTCAGTCCATTGCCAGGGGAACCCATCCATGCGCCGACCAACTTGGCCCCTGACAAAAGTATTAAGATAATGTCCATTTGAACAGAACATGAACACTATATGAGTTGACTTGTTAGTAAGTACTTGAATATTCCAACTAAAATAGTAATTACTATGAGAATTACTTACTACAAAATGGTTTGGCTAAATATTAATTTTTCCCCAGTCCTGTGTCATGGTCCACTTGCTTTTCCCCATTCTCCACCCTCATAATGATTGCCATATTTTCATCAAGCGAATTGGCTCTCTTCTAGGTCCCATCACTAGGTAAAAGGAGTTGAAAGCAAGGATTTTCGGCTGTACCAGTTTTTTCTTCCAGGTACAGTAAACCCACTATGCTAACGAAGACCGCGTAGGCTAAACCTTATGGTTAAGCCAACAATTGCTATCTGGCAAGATATTCACTGCCAGAATTTTGTCCTGTTCAATGGATACTCATTCATTCACAACTGGCACATGTGCAACTACCAAGTTGTTGCACAAAGACAGCCCCCCCTCCACAGCCTAAACTATAGAACATATAGAACTATAGTGGCTTGTGCTAATTTTTTTGCCTTAAGGGTCCCCAGGACTCTCCAAGTCTTATAAGAAAGGGTAACTCAGAAAAATTTTGGGGTCCCATTGCTATTGAAGCATGATGAAATCTTGCAAAGTTGCACAAAAAGTTCCAAATCCCACAATGTTTTTTCTTTGATTTAACATGACCAAAAGCATGATATTCAATACAGTAGCCTTATGACTACTTCCAACATTTTCTCTTAGACAAATAACAAACTTCTGCATATTACGACTACAAGATGCTGAATAGGTATTTTTCTTATTTGCATTTGAGCAGAAATCACAGGAAGCTCTTCCATTTCTATAGGAAAGCCAGGAATACATGTTGACCCACTCCTTTTTCCATTTTGTAAATCTTTTTCTCTTCATTGTGATTCATGGTTCACAAGTTGCCCATTTTCATAATCGCCCACGTCCATCTCTTTCCCTTTGGTTTAATCAGGTCAAAGTCTACGGCGATCTTCCCTTCTCTGTGCACCCTAAGTGGAACGATGAGGGGGGTGCGAAAGGGATAGGGAATTTCTCGTTGCGGTTCAGGACGCTCTTCTCGTTCAGTACGTAACTGAACCGACTCGCGAGGAGGCTTTATTAGATTTAGTTTTTGCGACGAACGACGATCTGGCACGAGACGTTAAGATACAGGATAACTTGGGAGATTCGGACCACTGCGCGATCACGTGGAATATCAAGCGGACGAAGAGTAACGCCAAACCGAGGAAGGTTTCGTACAACTATAAGAAGGCTAATTTCGAGAGACTACGTGAATGCGTTTCGGGCATCGAATGGGAGGTGCGGCTCCGTGGGCTGACGGTAGAGGAGCAATGGGGGGCGTTCAAGATGTTATTGCAGGGCTTTATGGAGGAATGCATCCCCAAGAAATCCATAAAATCGGACAGGCAACCGGTCTGGTTTACGGGTAAAATCAAAGCTCTCATCAGGGATAAAAAGCGGAAATGGGATGCGTACAAGCGGAC